TTTTGAAAAATTAAATCCAAACTTGTAATTGAAACTGCCTTCCCAATAAAAATCAGCATTTCCTTGGCTTTGCCCTGCTTTTGTTGGAGTCAAGCTCTGGTGGATGTTCACACTCTCAAGTGGCCACTTAGAGCCTTGTTTGCAGTTTGTCTGAAGTTAAGGCATCTCAGGAGAGTCCTAAAAACCTCTTATAGTGACAAATCCAAATTCTGCTGACTTCAGTGATGCTGCAGAAAGACTGAAAACTGCTCCTTTATCTTTGTGTGAAGCTAAGCTGAGCTGCCCTGGGTTGCCCATGTTGTCTGGCTGGGAGATGCATTGAACTGTGCTGGCAGTGCTGAGGCTGGACTCCCAGGGAGGGGCTGGACTTTGGCAGGAAGGATGGATGGCATGTTTCTGAGTGTGCTGGTTAACCTGGGCTCATGACTGCCCAATAAAAACTTGCTGTAGACAAGGCATTTGCAGTTTAAGTCATCGGTTGGTTGGGGTCAACCTGGGCTTGGGACATGTCTACTGGAAGTTGCCTGTTTCTGGATGATACTCAGGTGTCCCCACCTAAACCCTGATGCTTACAGCCTCTTGGAAGAAGGCAGAGCTTTCTAGGGGATAAAAACTTACTTTTCACTATGTGGTAGCTACTCTGTGGAACAGAGGAATTTCCAAGGTTCCCCTGGAGCTCCAAGGGACCTTGAGTAAGGACTCTGAGGAGAGAGAAAACTGTGCTCGTGCAGGAAGGCTTTTTGGCTACAGGTGGTTCTTCCATGTCCAATGCAAGCAGTTAAACATTTGTAGCATCGTTGTGGGGTGTTAATTATGAACAAAAAGGTCACACATAGCTGCTCCTGGGGAGGAAGTGACCGATTGCTGCTGAGATACATGGGGAATGCCTGAGGAGCTGGAGTACTTGGCCATGTCTTGGAAACTTTCGGGACAAACTCCTTGTCCTGTAGCAGCCGTGCAGTGGGTGCAAGAGCCAGGCACGTCAGAGCAGTCACCTCCTCCAGATGGCTCAGGCGTAGCGTTGCAAAGGCAAGAGGCCCCCAGGTGTTTGCTCTTCTTTCCCCATTTCCCCACTCGATTCCCTCGGTGACGGGGCTTTTCCCTCTCCTTTATTGCAGGCAGTGGCTTCCACGTGACAAAGTCTATCCCCTCGGCGTGGACGACACAGTGGACAAGTTAAAAATGATGGAAGGACGAAAAACCAGCATCCGCAAGTCCGTGCAAGTGGCGTACGACCGAGCCATGATTCACATGAGCCGTGTGCGGGGAGATCATCCCTTTGTTACTTCCAATTATCTGTAAGGGGTCGGGGTGGCTGGTCCTCCTTTTCCTCCAGACCCCGCGCTCGCTGCGTCGGCAGAGCGGATCGTCCCGTGCGCTGACCGGCCGGGGGATGCCCTTCCCAGCAGCTGTCAGTGCTCCTCGAAGTACCCTGAAATGTGCCAAAAAAATAAGCCTGTCCAGCTTCTTTCTGAATGTGTCTCGCTGAAGAGCTGGCAGGAGATGAGATGTATAGTCTACAGGGCCCAGGAGTAAGGGAGTCAGGGAAAGCTGCCAGGTGGCGGGAGCCAAGGTGAGCTGGTGCAGCGAGCGGAGCGCAGCACTCGGATGGTCGGACCTCACGCACCCTCCCTCGCCCCTGCCTCCCCCCTGCCACTGGGGTTAAATCATCAGCCAGCCCTGAGAAATTCCTGGGAACCCGCCACCACTGTCACCAAACCCGGATCCTTTACGGAAATCCCAACTGGACTTTCTTGTGCCAAATTTACCCTAACCGTCATTGGCCTTTTCATTTTTTTAAATGACATTGATTGTCCCATCACATTTTTTAAAAAGAAAAAGAAAAAATCGTAGCTGGGAGTTGGCGTTACGATTTTCCTGCCTATGTACGTAGTGTTCTTATGTTGGATTTCTCTCATTGCATTTAGAAAAGCTTGAGATATTTTGGTAACCTTCCCCTCTGCTGCACACTTACATGCACAGATGCACAGAGCTTTAAATATGAAAAGCAAATTACCTGATTTTTTGTGTGTGTGTGTGTGTGTGTGTGTGTGTCCCCTAGAAATTTATTTGGTAGTTTCACATTTAAATTCTGATTTCTGTGACTGTGCTTGTTCCGGTAACATTTCATATCATGGTTTAGTACAGTGCTGAGTGTAAGCAAAGAGAACTTCCTTTTTTTAAGAAGCAAAACTAATTTTGGAGGTGTCTAATGAGCTGGAGCAGCTTTGCAGGCACTGAGGTTGATCAGGGTTGGAGGGAGATACATCTTTTGTGTTGGTTTATGCACACTTGGTGTAAGGCTCCTCTTCCTTTACTTCCCTTTTTTCTGTCTCTCTGACGTTTTCCTCTGGCTCGGTTTGGGTTAAAACCAAGCACTAACTAGAGCACACGACCATTTTGCCTTTCGCCTTCTCCCGCACACCCGTGTCCTTTCCCTGGTGTGTGGGGCTCCAGCATTGTCATCCATGAAAACCCAAGTCAACCCAGCTCTGCAGACAATCCCTGTTTTTTTGGGGTTTGCATTGCAAAAACGGGGGCAACTGATGTTTGGAAACTTGATGACAAAACCTTTTCTATTAGCCAAGGACTTTATGATTTCTCTGATCTCTTCTGTTGTGTATCCCTTTTTGCTTTCCCATTTTAAGAACCAAAGGTGAAGAGCAAGATTGTAGATTGAATATCATCATTTCGCTTTTTAACTCAATATTTTTTTATTATTTTAACTTTTTCATATTGAAGAGAATGTGGGGTCAAAATAATAATAAATAATAATTAATAATAATAATGAATAGTAGGGAGTAATCACTGCCATTTCTACTTGGTCTACTTTTTTAAAATACCACTTCTTATACATTGGGACATGGAACCACACTTTAAGGAAGATTCCTGTAACATATAGAGATGGGGCATAGGATTTTGTAATAATAATTATAATAATTATAATAAAGCCTATGGAGTGTGGCTAGGGAAGGATTGTTGTGTATATAGTTGTAAAATATTGTTCTAAATTATTTAGACCTATTGTCACCATTCTTGAAGTCCTCAGTTGTGTTGCTGGGTCTTTTATATGCACACAGTGTAATTTATTTAAAGGAACATACACTTTTCCAGGTGGTAGCTCAGCTGTGGACTCGTGACCTGTGTATATGTTTGAAGATCTTGGGATTTGGGGTTTTTTTGGGGGGGTTTGTTTTGTTTGTTTTTTAAATGACATTTTAGAATTTGAATTGGCTGATATCCTGCTGTTGCTACGGGACCTAAACGTTACTGTCAGTCTGCTGTAAAGCACAGATCGCTCTATTTATTGTAGAAAGTGAGTTTATTTGCTTTCTAGAATTGTTTATATCAGATGGTATAAGAGAGGTAATAAGAAAATCTATGCTTGTAAAGAAAAAAAATGCTAATTTTACCTACTATAATCTGACTGTCTGAGACTATATTTTCTCTCTGAGAAATAAATGTTCTAATGTATAAAAAAAAACCCCTTCTCCATCCTTGCTAGTGTTGTCCTGAGGTCCAGGACTTGCCGTGAGGGTTTTTATTCATCCCAGTGGTCCCAGATGCAGGTGTAAAGCCTTTGCAAAGAGCAGTGGTAGGGAAGGGACATGTGGAGGCATTTCTTGTCCTTGCCCTGAACATCTCCCAGAGGTGAGTTTGTTCCCAGGGTGGTGGGTAGCAGAGTTGGGTGCTGCAGGATGGGATCCCACCCGGCACCGTGCATTGGCCGGGCGATGGCTGAGAGCCCCAGAGGGATGGGAATTGGGAAGCTGGGGCTTGAATCCTGACTCCTGGTGACACTGCTGGCCCTTGGTGGGCCTGGGGGCTCCTGCAGTGCTGGCCCACGGGCATGGGACTCGCCCACAGATGGGGACAGGAGCCAGCAGGGCCGCACTCTGCAGCCGGTCCGGTCCCTGGCTGCTGGCTGGGGAGGGTTCTGCGCCTGAGCAAGGCTCTTGCGTTGTCTCTCTTCCCTAAGATGTCTTTTCCCTCCTTGCTCAGGTTTGTGGTGCATCCTCGGGGCCTGGCGCTGGCTCCTTGGCTCCAGAGACTCATCCCCCCTCTCTGCCCCCTCCTGGCAGGGAGTTGCAGAGGGCCAGGAGGTCTCCCCTCAGCCTCCTCTTCTCCAGACTGAACCCCCCAGTTCCCCCAGCCGCTCCCCAGCAGACCTGTGCTCCAGACCCTGCCCCAGCTCCGTTGCCCTTCTCTGGCCACGCTCGAGTCATTCAATGGCCTTTTTGGGGTGAGGGGCCCAAAACTGAACCCACTCATCGAGGGGCGGCCTCCCCAGTGCCGAGCCCAGGGCTCAGATCCCTTCCCTGTCCCTGCTGGCCA